TTTTAGACCTTTCATCACATTCATTGCTTGCTCTGCAACAGCCTATCAACTGATCCAACTCTTTGTCATAATAAACAGGAACAGATTTGCCCATCTGGGGCCTGAACACTGGTGGTCAGACCATAAGGATTACTTTCGGTGTTTTGCAAGCTCTGTTCTTGTTTACATAGTTCTTTATGGTGTTTTCTTTCTTAATGACAGCATGACATGTTGGCTTACATTCATCTGTTCCATGCCATGGACTCAGGGCCATCTTCTTAGGAACAGTTAGCCTGCCTGTATTTTTTCCATTTGATTATTTCTGCCTAAGCATTTAATTGCCTTTGTTTTGAATAATGGTTTTAGCCCATTTTTCCAATTTAGGAGATTTATCTTTTTTTTTAATTACAGTATTGTCCACCATACTTGCAGCCCTTCTAGATGTGTCATGGAAACATTATTAGCAGAGTCATTAAGTTTCTTTCTGGAAGTGTATTGTTGCCTTGTGAAGTGTTCGCAAAATCCCCTAAATCCCTAAATATTTTGAAATACCTTGCTGTAAATGTTCCTGAGACACTGCCATGTCTCCTATAGGACATTCAAAGAAGTGAATCCAGTTGTCTTAAAATTTAGGCTAGCAGCTGGACCACCTTCTAAAAGTCAGCTTACACTCTTTGTACCTTGAGTGATGATGGTGCCCAGGCTGATTTGTCATAAGCTGATTTTCCCCCAGTCTTTCCATCCTCTAAATATCAATGGGCCTGTTAAGGAAGCAGATTTGTTTATTCTTATTGAATTTGTTTGTTATATGAAGTCAAGCATGCATGTGTAACCTTATGAAAGTGTGGCCTAGCACTGTAAGTTTCTTAACCTACTCCCAATAAATAAAGCTAAAAAAAGAAGACTATAATCACAATTTGGGAAGGATTATGCACTGATCAAAGTAAAAGCAGCAGCTCCATTAAAATTTGTAGATTGAAGAGGTTGCAAAAAATGGGGTCTGGCCTAATGAGAAAGATAATTATTTTTTAGCCCCCCAATTATTTCTCAAGGATACCATCTCTTATTTCCCTTAATATTTACCAGGAGATGTGTATACCTTCTCTCTGTCAGTATTCCAAAATACACGTATTTGTACAGAGAAGTCTTCTCCCTCAGTGCAACAAATGAGGATTTTCCCTGTGATTTTCCTTAAAGACTAGGCTGTGGAGTTGGCATTTGGTTCATAAGCTTCTGATCCTAGAGTGGCTTGCATCCAGAGTGTGTGGAGAGCATTCGATATTGTGTCCTTAACTTCACAGGATATTCGGAGTTGGAAGGGACCTACAAGGATCATTGAGTCCAACTCTTAAATGAATGGCCCATACAGGGATCAAACCCATAACCTTGGTTTTATTAGCACCGTGCTCTGACCAACTGAGCTAATCTCAGGGTCATGAAGCAGCTGTTGGGGCACTGCTCAGTAGGATACTTGTTCTGAAACAGCAGCTTTAGAGTCTGACGGATTTTCCTGGGTGGGTCTTTGGGGAGAGAGGCTGAAGAGTTCCTGAGAATCAGCAACTGTTTTCTCTCCTTTCACTGCAGTGGGTCTGCAGTGAAATTAAAACTCAGTGATAGACTTTTTGTTTTTCGTCCCAGAGCTACTTAGGCTGCACCATCATTTCACAGCAACATAATACTGTAAAATATGGTGTGTAATTGCTCATTTCAAAATGTTGTCTTATAGCACTGTAGATCAGGAGAATGTCCTCTGAAAATGGTGGACTTATTATCATTTATCATTTTACTCAGTGAGAATATTGTTAAAGAGACAGGAAGGCAATGAAATGTAGCAGTAATTAAATACAATTAAGGACAGAAATGTTTCAATCTTTCCTTGCTTACAAGAAAGCTGGATGATGTAAGCTCATGGTCCATGTTAGAAGCAGTCCATTTCTGGGGAGGTGCCCAGAAGCATGACTTTGTCAAGCTTCAGGCAAACCTGATGTCCTATGATGTACATTAAGATACAAAGAAGAATCCAAGAGTCAAGAGAAACCGAAGAAAAGAGACATAGGTTCAACCAGATCACAGTTGCAGACTAAAGTCTGCTAGAAAGAGCCTGAATCATCTCAGAAACTTCTTTGAAAGGGAAGGGGCTTTGCAACGACTTGGAAGAGTGATACAGAAGACCTAAGGGTCTTCCCTACCGTTGTGCTTTACAAGACCTGAGTGTTTCTCTCCAAGCAAGCTGGGGCAGCTTTGTGTCTGCTGCCCCGTCCCCTGATTTGGCAGCTTGAAGAGACTGGAAGGCTGTTTTCTTAAACAACCCATCAATCATCAAGAGACAGCAGAATATCAGAATGAGGAATGTAACATGAAAGGAGTGATAGGAAATATCAGCAATTCCTGTTAAGCAGAGCAAATGATAAAGCTGAAATAGCATTGAACCTTTTGACAGTTTTAGGAAGCTAATCAGTTGTGTAAGGAGAATATCTTTGCAAAAGTTTCTATAAATGTTCTAGAACCCCTCAACCTTATTGAAACAGGAGCTTGGCTCACTTAGGCAGAACAGATTATTATTTTGGCATTTTACAGAATTGTCTGTCTTCTATTGCTTCTCACACATAAGTCTCAAAGGGTATTATAGGGTGGTCAATAGCATTGTTCCTGCTGTGCTGAAGGGCCAGATAAGCACTCAGGGTTGATAATTTGCTTGGGGTTACCAAAAAGCAGAGCAGAGGACTCCAGAATGCCTGTTTTGTACATTATTTGCTCAGCCAGTGTTTCCTGAGAAAAATCCACCCAGGGAAGATTGGCACAGTATATTAGCACGAACAGAGATCGTATCAAAGAGTTTAACACCTCAAATTGACAAAGGCGAAGAAGGAAAACAGAGGGATGTATTAATTTTCTTCTAGTCTCACAGCAGGTTAACAGGAGAAACACGACTCCAAGCCAGGTCCTTTGCTTTGCTGACAAGCAGCCCACCCCCAGGCCAGGCTGGGTCAGCCAGGGTCTGTGGTCACACTCTTTCCTCCAGAGATGGCACCCTATTTTCACCTGGAGGTGGAAGACAGAACTGATAATATGAGATACATTTATTTTGCACAAGAGTGAAGTTCTACAAACAGAAAAACTCTCTGACAAAGGAGAACAAGATAAGAAGAGAATTTAGAAATGCCGTACCATGTATTTCACATTTGGCAACTTATACTTCAGAGTTAAAACAATTTTGCATGTGCCCTTTTGAAAGCATGAGGCTGCATGCATGAAGAAAGCACCCATTTCCCTTATGTTTTGAGCAGGGAGCCATATGTTTCAAAAGCAGAAAAAGAACAGTTAGCCTTGGAGCATTAAATCTGCCCATCTAGGTAGCTGATTAGCTTTCTCACAGAGATGAATGTCCCAGAACAAAGCTGAGAAAACAAGGCTTAGAAGTGTAAATATTAGTAGGTGTGTGGGGACATAAACTAGAAAATTTGACAATTTTAATTACGTTCATTTACTTTCACCTGCTGAGTTCCCTGGCTGACATCAGAAATTACATCTGTTGGGTTACTAGCAGAGTAGGCAGAGGGGATGGGGACAGGATAGTCTCAGTTCCCATGTTGACAGTAGAATCTGCACGGACAGCCTATTATCTGATGTAAAAAAAATGTAATAGAAACAGGAGCTTCCTCATATCTCCCACAGACATGGAAAGTACCACATAGGGTTAGCTGTAAGCTCAGCAGGAGCTTCCAGACCTCTGGACACTTAAATCACAACATCGTTACAGTCACCTCTGGATTACCTGATTGAGGTTTTCCTATTTTACTTGGTAGGGTTATAGATGGAAGGAGGATTAAATGATAAAGTGAATCATATGACAGTGTGTGAATGCCTACACAATGAAAAAAAAAAAGGCAGAGACCTTTTTATTTCAAGAGATTTTGTGGAATAGAAAAACACAGATATAGGGCATTACAGTTCCTCACACTGTTCTGAGTTGCACAAGGTTTGTGTGTTGTGTCTGTTTTGAACATGACATCCCTGGGGTAAGGACTGTGGGTTTTTTAGATCACCTAGGACAGCATTGCCCTGGTCTGCGTGTAGCCCTGAAATGAAAACATTAATAATGACTGTTTTTCATGGCAGATGCTATGGCAGGCTGTATTTTCAAAGAGGTACAGTGTGTCTGATTTAATTTAGCTTTCAATGTCCATTTCAGTCTGGTAGTTTTGTGCTTGACTGCAATCACAGAGCAAGAGGTAACAATCCATGGCCTCATCGATATCAACCCCTGGACAGCACTCAAAACATCTAGCCATTTAACAGACAAATACAAAACCTGTAAACCAGTGTGATGAACCATCTGCTGTGCCTTCCATACTGTTCCTTCTACTATTTTGCAAATACAAATCTGCAGATTCTAACAGAATGTCAGCCTTCAACTGTGCTGCATGTATGAGAAGGCAAATAAGAAATAGGAACATTAGTACTCTTTCTCCACACCATTTATTAGTTTATAGCGTTGTTTCTTAAATTTGTTTTTCTTTGATTCCTCTATAAAATAGCTACAACTTACTTTTAATAGATGCTTTGCTGAAAAATGGTGCTTCACCATTTCACTAACCTGCTTTCGGATAGTTGTAATTTCACTTTAATGTTGTGCTTTTTATGATTTAGAGCGAAGTAAGAGAGAAGGAGCAACCATGAAATTTGCTTTTAATGCCAGGTACATTCCAGAAGAGTTGTTTAGACAGCACTCTGAGAATACATGTTATTGTGGTTGCTTTCCTATTTAATTGGGTACAAATCGAATCCAGCATCTGATTTGGGCATACTTTTGTGTCAGTATAGGCCATTTTCTGACTCAGTTTGGTAAGTAGACTGTACAAATCTCATTGCTTGAATAGGTGACTGTAAGAGGCTTCTGTGTAAGAGGCTACAGTTTGTGTTTATCATTTTAGCTGAAAAGGAAACATAGGGAAAGTAGAATGAAGATCCACATCTGTCAGCTAATTTTTCTCCTTTTCTGAACTTTTTTTATTTTGCAGGTGATGGAAATTAAAGGACAAATGATTCACGTGCCAGAATCAAATTCTATTTTGTTTCTGGGTTCCCCATGTGTGGACAAGCTGGATGAACTGATGGGCCGAGGCCTCCATCTTTCGGACATACCTATCCATGACGCTACTCGTGATGTCATATTGGTTGGGGAACAAGCAAAGGCACAGGATGGCTTGAAGAAACGAATGGATAAGCTGAAGGCAACGCTAGAATGTACACACCAAGCCCTGGAAGAGGAGAAAAAGAAGACAGTAGATCTCCTTATTTCTATTTTCCCTGAAGAAGTGGCTCAGCAGTTGTGGCAGGGGCAGCAGGTTCAGGCCAGGAAGTTTGATGATGTCACCATGCTGTTCTCGGACATTGTTGGCTTCACTGCCATCTGCGCGCAGTGCACACCCATGCAGGTCATCAGCATGCTGAACGAGCTCTACACGCGGTTTGACCATCAGTGCGGATTCCTGGACATCTACAAGGTAAGAGCTCGAGCCCCAAGTTACCAATATCTAATGGAAACTGAGACAGGAAAAAAAATACCGGTAGCTTTCTTCCTAAATTGCAGACTTTCCCTCATATTTCATAAAAATACAAAGGCAATAGTTTTGTTTTATGTGAAAAAACCCACCAAATTTAAAATGTGCCCATTGAAAATCAAATACTTTAAAGTGAAACTGTCACCATGGTGCTCCCATGGGAATATAAGCCTCATATTCCCATTTTCCTACAGAAACATGCATCTCCTCTATTATATCCTGGTTTCCTTTAGATGACACATCAGCCACGTCATCCTAAAGATGAAGTGCACAGTGATGAATCTTAGCCCCAGCTGCAGCTCCTGAGAGGCACTCAGTTTCAGCTGAAACTTGAATGGTTTAGGGTTTAGGCACTTCTCTTTCTCCTGAAAGAATTAAACTTTTCCATAAAGAGCAAACCATTAAGTGAAAAAATTGTAATAAGAAACTTCAACTTCTGCTGAAAAACAGGAAGAGGACAGCAGAGGTTCATGCACAGCGAATGTAATGAATGGGACATAGCACGGGTGTGCCATGCTGCTTTATTACTCTGCAGAAAAGATGACACATATGTTAGTCCTGTTACAGACCTCATCATCTTCACTTCTTTAAGCTGATCTGGTGTCCAGCATGTATTTGAGAGAAAAAAGAGGGGAGGTAAAATTTAATAAATGCAGGGAAGATATTACCTGTGTAATTATCCTGTGGAATCTACAATATGTTTTGTATGTGGAATGCCTTTAGTTTTGAGGTGGGAGAAATAGAGCAAATTTCTTTTTCTATCTTAATGCACAAAAGAAAAGAATGTGTTGCAAATTTGTATATTAACTTTATTTATTCTCTCTGAGGTTTGCAAACTAACAGTTTTCAAACTGTTTCGTAGAGTATATGTTTGATAGACTGAAGAGAAATGGTCTCACAAGAGTGCTGTCCCTTTCATTTTTAGCCTCTAATGCATTTTAAAAGGAATTGCAAAATAATTATTACACTCCTAAATAATAATCATGGCTGAAAAGTTACAAATGTACCACAGATAGAACTGAAAATGGTATAGATAAAGATTGGTAGGGCTGTATACCAAAGAAAACAATCACACTGTAAATAAGTTTTGTGATCCTGGGCTAGGGGTTTGTGTTACTAATGCTCAGAACCCAGACTGTGTTAGGAGAGGAATGCAAGGGAAGATATCAACCCTCATTAGAAAATTCTTACAGTGATACAGTCAAAAATAAAAAGGGAAGTTTGATCTCACTTTGTATGAGTCTGATGTTGCAGCACTGGATTATGACCCAGCTCTGAGAACAGGACTCGAGGAACCTCTGACCCACAGTTAGGAATGATACCCAGTGACCCTGCTTCACATGCAGTGTGTTCACACGCTTCACATAGTCACTGTGTTCCCAGGTGATTAATTTTAGCTGTTTTGAGGTATTCAGGACATTCTTTGCTGAAAACTATGGTTGCAAGGGAATAGGATATAAAGTATGCAAAACTCTATAACCAGACTGCAAGGAAAGTTGGTTGAATCCTGTGAGAACACTAAGAAGGAATATTTATGGAGGGTCATGAATATTATATCACTTAGACCATGGCTTTCTGCCTTTCACCTAGTTTTGTGCTACTTTAGATAGAAGGATGTTACTGTATGAAAATAGTGTCCCCAGCAGTGAAAAAAGATAATCGGTGAGATAGGCAAGATAAAATTTATGCATTCAAAAAAAGGAATAAGCACTCCCATGTTGAGACTACGGTGCAAGTTTACGAGCAAAGGTATTAATAAAACCTGTTTTTCTATGGAAGAATGGCTTACACCTCTAAAATCCTTTCCCCACTGTTACTGCCTTAATATAGGCTGCTCCTTCTCAGATTCTTTCATCCTGGATTTTCCTTATCTCCTCCGTGCCCCTTGAGCCTCCCTACATGTCCGCTGCTTCCCACCACAGCCCACATACGAGAAAGGCAGCGTGCACTGTGGCTGTGTGTACCTTTTTTTCTCTTCCCCAAATCCTTTTTAGTTTGTTGTTTTTTAACCAGAAGTCTAAAAAAGCTACTGTGTAAAAAAATGAAGTGAAAGTGACTCAACTGAGTAGCACAGAAAGACAAAACTCAAGCAATGAACCCTTTTTCTTTTCCTTAGAGAATCAGGCTTAAAATAGAGTAACAATTCTTTTGAAAAAAATATTTGCATTTTAAAATGAAAATAGCTTGTGTGTTTATATCTTTTCCATTTGTTTCAGATGAAATTCTGAAAGCTAAGTGTATTACTAGGAATGATCACCACCACAACAGCTATGATTTTAGAAATTATTGTCAGGCAGTGAATTTTAGATACATAATCACCACTGTTTGTACCCACAGCCTGCCTCAAAGATATACTTGAGTAACTAGGCTACAGAAATTTATCATGTGACCTAAAAATACATCAAAAGAGATCAATTTTCAAATTTTCTTGTTTTTAAGCAGCATAGTAAAAATAATTTGCAAAGATTATTTGGTGAGTACTTCTGAATATCAAATTCACCGTTTTGTAAACAGAAAATCAAGCAAAATTCATTAAATAAATTCCATGCTGTAAATTATTTACCCAGCTTTACTGTTAAAGAATTTTGAATGCAGAACCTCAGTGCTTCTAATCTTGCACTCAGACAATGAATACAATATTTTCAATTGTCTCATGCTATTCATCCAGAGATGTTTGTTGAGAAACATGACACGGAAAGAAGAACAAAGATCCCCACATTAAACAAGTCAGACATAGAGGGCAAGTAAATGAGCTGTTGGATACAGACTAAGAAATGCTTTGAGAAGGCAGAAGGGTGATGAATTAGATTTTGAAATTTTTTGGATACGAAAGTAAGTAGCTATCACTGATGAGGTAGGGAAAGGTTATCTAATAGATGGATGCACAGGTAAGAGCGACACATACAGATGGTGGGCTCAGAAAGTGAATTTCACAGCAGCATTTTGAATGGATACAAATCAGGACAGATTACATTTGTTCAGGCTGAGGGAGAACATTGCAGTAATTGAGATGCATAGTGTTATGAGCCTGGGTGACGATTTTAGCAATCTAGAAGAATCTGTGTTTTAGAGGGTATAACTTCAGAAAGAATCTGCTGACATACAGTCTTGAGTCCTTGAGAGGGACGTTCTTGTAGTAATCACAGAAGAGAGAGGAGGTGAGAGAACTGAGACCTGGTAACGCTTTTGGAAATCGGTGCTGCTGACTATCAGAGCTAATTATATTCGGCTTGGAATTGAGGAATGGGAGAAAAAGATGCTGTCAAGCAGGGAGTGCATTGTAGACGCAGAGGCTTGGCAAGCTAGTGTCTGTGGACATGGAAGTAGAAACATGGACTCCAGGAGTAGAAGCAATGGGAGAAAGTTCTCAGTAAATTTTGAAAGCTAATTTGCTTTGTGTAAGATATGTACTGGGTGGTCTGACTGTTTTGACCTGTTTTTTTATCTGAGTTCCTGTTGTTTATGAGCCAAATGCTGGGGAATGATGCTTCAGTTAAGCCATCCATTTGTCAGATAAGCTATTTAGATATGCTGCAGCCATGTCTGATGGCATTTAAAACTTAACCTTGCAAACTGAATTCTTCCCTGCTTAAGATTCCTACAGCTTCTGTTTCTCCTCCACGTAATATATCTTTGACATTGGTTCATTCAAAATACTTTTTTCTTGTTGAGTCCTTCTGCCTGTGTAGGCCTGCTTTCTAAGCTCTTTTCTGTTCAGTTTCCTTTAACTAATGCACAGAGTAAAGGCAGCATGTACTGTGGATGGTTTTTTGGGTGTGTGTGCACTGGTTGTGTGGCTATATGTGCTGGCTGGGTAATGCCAAGCCAAATAGTGCAGAACTGGGCCTGATACTGTAGGCGTTAGTTTCTTTGTCCTTTCTCTGAACAGGACAGCATTTGTCCTTGAAGACATTTGCAGATTTTCCCAGATAATAAACTTCACTTTCTATGAAGTGCTAAGTCCCACTTTCCATGTCTAAGCAGAGAGTTCTAAGCATTTTTGACAATGAACTATTGTCAGCTGCCAGAATTTCTTTGCTTTGTTATCAAAACTTTAATTGAAAGTTTATTGAGTATTTATTGAATAAGGCAAAATAATTACATAGGTTAATTTTATATATGTGAATTTCTGCTTTCTTTTGGATTTCATTATTTGGCTAAACTGGCACTCTTCTCTGGGGGGGTGCCACACACATGCCTCCAAGTCTTTTACTAGCTTCCTTGAGCTTTTATTCCTGGCAACACAATAAAGTTAGTATGTTAGATCTTCATTTTCTGATTTTATGTGTTTAACTCTGACTACAGCCTCAATTTTTGCTCATTGTAAAGACCTAAGACTACAAAAGGATAGGAAGTCTGGGCTGCTCTGCAATCAGTCAAGGCTGATACTCACCAGCCTTGAATAATATTGTTTATATTTATGTTGTGATATAGTGCTTTTAGGAACCTGATTTTAAAATCACATTTTCTGAAAATATCACTTTACATTTTTTACTGGTAGTTAAAGTTGCAGAAATCTGTATCCATTTTACAGAAAATACCACTACATTCTCAGTGCCGTGACTATCCTTTCTTGAGAACTGATACATGTACATATTCATATATATGTTCTCAAGGTTACTGTCGGTACTATAATGACTAAAGAATACTGCAATGACCAGGGTCATGAGCTTCAGACTATTTGGAAGTTTTTCAGGCTTTATATTTTGTAAGTTAAAAACCATAGCCTCCAAGTTATAATGCAAAATCTATGGACACTGTTTTTATCTTCTTTCCATCACTTCTGCAATTTTAATCTTTTAAATACAGTGAAACCATGGCCATTTTGAGAAGGTTTCACATTCTAAACTTCAGCTCAGGCATCTGCAAAATGTAGGAAATGCAATTAAGATGTGTAAAACGACAGTGGTGTTCTTACATGAGCAATATGATAGGCATAAAAT